CTGTATGTGTTAGTATAGAAACAAATGCTCTGGCGAAGATATAATAATAAAGAGAAATAAATATAATACGAAATATTCTAGAGCAACAATGGTATGAAAAGTACAGTGTTAAACAATAAAAAGAATAGTAATACAAGAATTATTCTAGAATGGGTAACATTTCAAGGGTAAATGCTAGTAAAAATCAGGCAAGAAGTAGTAATAATCTTGGGTGAAAATAAAGTATAACACTATATACTTGATATACTTAATATACTCAATATACTTGATATATCTAATATATTTGATATATCTGATATACTCATTATATCAAATAGATTCAATTATATTTTCCTTATTTATTTATTTTTTTATATTACTATTTTTACCTTTAACAATAGTACCAATAATTAACAAGATACTACTATGATTCAAGAAACATTGCAAAAAAATAAATTAATACAAAATATTTCAAAAATAAGTATTGTTGTAGGGAAAAATGATGGATAGATGATAGGAAATTATAAGGATAAGTGTTTCTGTCATATTTGTCGACTTCTCTACATAACTCGAGGATTTTTGAGTGTTTGTCCAGAGAGTTCACTCTCTTGATGTCAGCTTCAATAGTGGAGGAGGTTGTTGATCTATCTGTTGTTGCTTCGTCAACTTTGTCTGCACATGAGATTGGATTTGTGGAAAGGGAGGAGTTAGTTAGTTCAGATTGGCTTGAATTTGTGCTTTGCTCATCGATTTCCATATCTGTTTGATGCACTGTTGTGCTGGTGTTAGTATTGGGTGTGCTGTCATGTTTATGATGTACGTTGGAAGGACAATCGTTCTGCATATCATTGTCGTTACTTATTGCTTCATTGAGTGCAGGTGTATTTGGGGGATTTGAGAGTTTCGGTTTTTTGGATTAGAGAGAAAAATTTCCTACTATCGTCAAATTGGATGTCAATTTTTTTCCAAGGTTTATGAAGCTTGTAGTTGAGATTTAGTCTGTTCATTTCTTTCATAACTCCTAGTCTGTCAGTGTCAGTAATGTTGAAGATGTTTTGGAAGCCAAGGAATAAGTTCAGAGCATCTGCTGTCTAAAGATGGGTCCCTAAATTAAAGACGAGAACATAATTCAAATGTCTCTCACTATTAAAAAAGTTTTTTTTTAAATATAAGGTCAAAAAAAAACTACCTACAAAGGT